CATTTTGTGCAGGACCTACAAGCTGTAAACTCTGCCATCATCGCCCCTACTCCTAATGTTCCCAATCCATACACCATTCTCAGCCAGATTCCCTCTTCTGCTAAATGGTTTTCCGTTGTGGACCTGACTAATGCTTTTTTCTCTATCCCCGTTCAGAAAGACTCCCAGTTTTGGTTTGCTTTCCAGTTCGGAGGGAAGCGTTATACATGGACACGCCTGTGCCAAGGACTGACCTGCAGCCCTAACCTTTTTTGTCAGGCTTTGTCTCGCAGTCTCTCCCCTCTCACACTCTCTCCAGGTTCAGTCTTGCTGCAGTACGTTGATGACCTTCTCATCGCAGCCCCAACAAAAGAACAGTGTGAGACAGACACCATCCTCCTCCTGCGCCATCTTGCTGAAGAAGGCCATAAAGCATCCCTGTCTTAAACTACAGTTTGTAAAACAGGAGGTGATCTTTTTAGGCCACATCCTCACACCACAGGGTAAATCTCTCTCTCCCTCTCGGGTTAAAGCTGTGGCAGAGACACCTAAACCCATGACTGAAAAACAACTTCTTTCTTTCCTGGGCATGTCTTCTTACTGTCGACATTTTATTCACAATTTCTCCGAGATGGAGAGACCGCTGAGAGACATCGCACACAAAAGAGACCTGACAGCTTCCAGCCCCATCCAGTGGACTGAGGAGGCAAACACTGCGCTTGAAAACCTTAAACTGTCCTTGCAGTCCACTCCCAACTTGGGCATCCCAGATCCAGAGAAGCCATTCACACAGTTTGTTGATGAAAAACATGGCTGTATGACCTCTGTACTTTTACAGGCTCATGGGGGTCAGCTGAAACCTGTTGGCTACTTCTCCCGCTTACTAGACCCTGTTGCCAGAGGCCTCCCAGCATGCTTGCGTGCAGTGGCTGCCTGCGAGTCTGCAGTGCTAGCCTCACGTGACTTCGTGGGTTACACCCACCTTGACCTTCTGGTGCCTCACTCTGTTGCATCTATCCTACAGGAACAGAAAACATCACACCTCACGCCAGCACGATGGCTCAGATATCACACCACACTTCTGGGTTTGCCAAATGTTCATGTCAAAAAATGTGCTGTGCTTAACCCTGCCACCCTCATGCCTTTACCGGGTGAGGGTGAACCCCATTCTTGCCTTGCAGAACTCCAACACACCTGCACCCCAAGACCGGACCTGAAAGATGTACCTCTCACTAACCCTGATCTCATTGTCTATGTTGATGGTTCTGCTTTCAGAGATCAGAGGATTTTCTGTTGTTGATGATGTCTCTGTTGTTTGTTCGTCTCCTTTGCCTTCTCATTACTCAGCACAAGCAGCAGAACTGGTGGCCCTGACTGAAGCCTGCAAAAAGGTAAAAGGCAAAAATGTTCCCATCTACACAGACTCTCGCTACGCGTTTGGAGTTGTGCATGATTTTGGAGCCCTTTGGAAACATCGCAAATTTCTCAAATCAGATGGTAAACCCATTTTACACCATCACAAAGTTGCAGCTTTGTTAGACGCCATCCTCCTACCAGCTAGTATTGCTGTTTGCAAATGTACTGCACACACCTCTGCCCGAGATCCAGTGTCTCTCGGTAACGCTCGAGTAGATTCAGCTGCCAAAGCCGCAGCTGCCTCCACTTCTCACACTTCTTATCTATACACTGACTCAACTTCCTCACTTCTTTCCTCCCTGTCTACTCTGGCCTCTCTCTCTACCCCTGCAGAACGAAAGCTCTGGTCTCAAAGCTGCTGCCTCTTCTCTGCGGGTGTATGGAGAGGTCCAGATGATAAACCTTGTCTCCCTCGTAGACTGTTTTTGACCTATTGTAAGTTGGCCCATGGCCTAGACCATGTGTCAAAAGGAGGGAGATGTGCTGTAGTTCAAAAACATTGGTTCACAAAAGGATTTTCTACATTTGCAGCTGATTTTTGTAAAAAACTGTTTGATATGTGCCCAAAATAATCCAGGTAGGACCAAACCTCTGGCACATCAAGCTGCACACACAGCACCAGACAGACCTTTTCAACATGTCATGATGGATTTCATCGAACTAACCCCCCGGTGAAGGTAAAAGGTACTGTCTGGTACTGGTAGACATGTTTTCCAAATGGGTAGAAGCTTTTCCAGCCAAACATGCCACTGCCTCAGTAGTAGCGTAAGTAGTAGTAGTAAGTAGTAAGTGTCGTAAAGAAACAAAACTCAGTTGGCCCAAGTGTCTGCCTATTGTCCTGATGTACATGAGAATGCGAGCGCGCCTGCGATGCAACCTCTCTCCCTTTGAGATACTGTTTGCAGGTACACCAAATGTCAGCGTGGGACCTCCAGGACCTCCCATGGACACCGTCCTCTGCGAGGCGAGCATGGTAAGTTACTGCATATCCTTAACAAAATGTCTTTCTGACATCAGAGCACAGGTGAAGGAGACACTCCCACCCTCGACTGACACGCCGCTCCACGACCTGAAACCTGGTGATTACGTGGTCAAAAAGAACTTCAGGAGGAAGTCCTGGCAGCATCAGCGTTGGCTTGGACCTTTCCAGATCCTCCTCACCACTCACACCGCTGTGAAAGTTGCTGAGAAAGCCACCTGGACACACGCCACCCACTGCAGACGAGTCCCGGATCCGACAACTTTACCAACTGACCCTGACACCTCCGGATAGATCCTCTGCTCCGGCTGTCATCACACCTGTCATTGACTGAGAGGCAGAACAACATGGACAGACCCCGCCCCTGGCATCGGTTTTGAAACCACCCAGGCCTGTGTGGCGCCAGAGGCACAACATGTATACCTTTTATGATTGTAATGATCATTATCGCTCTGTGGCTCTGGTATGAACTACAGACCTCCAGACTCCTAAGACCACCCCGCTCAACATCTCCAAAAGAGACTATGAAACGGCTTATCACACCAACTCTTGGTATCAGGCTCTGGTGCTTTCAGGGCGCCGCCTCAACATCTCAGACTCCTGTTACGTTTGTGCACGATTACCACACTCTATGTTTTTTTCTATCTCCCTCCAAACTCACCCCCTGTCCCCAGCAGACACCCTAGGAGCCATAATGGCTTTCACACTTGCAGAACATTGTGTATAAACATGAACATTTCCTTCTGCTGGCTTCGCTCCATCCTAAGACTCCTATGTCTTTCAAAAACAGCTGCACTTTTATTTCTCTTTTCTGCCCAACTTTATGATGTGTCTTCTTAAACCGTCCCGGTGTGACCTCACGGATGCTTGTTGGGTTCCTATGAAGTATTACTGTCTCTTACAGGTGTTTTCTTTTGGTCTGTGTTCTGTGTTTATTTTGTATGTATATTGGTTCCTGTTTCATTTATGTTTTGGGATTTATCTTTACGTTCTTCCGTTTCGATATGGTTTGTGTTCTCCTGTATAATTTTTCCGTTATTCTGGTTGATTATTTGTAATCAAAAGAGAGGAATTGTAGTGGAAAAATACTATCTGTCTGTTGTCTTCGTTTGACCTTAAAAGATTAGGATTTGTGTGCGTCATTTAGCAATTACAAACTGTTTCTCTGTATGGCCTTGGTCTGTATCTCCAACAGGAACACTCCTCAGGATCTGGATCCTGATCCTAAATCAGTTCCCTCTGAACAAAAGCCTTTCTGTTGGTGTTAGATAAATCATCAGGCAAGCTGAAACCAATGACGATGTATCACTCATGTATATGCAAAATACCTACACCCTGTGAAAGTATAAATATGCTCTGCAACCGGGACTCTTTGATGCACTTGTGACTGATGTTACTTTTGTAGCTGATTACCCCTTTTGCAAAAGAACTTTTTATATGCAATAAAAGACACAAAGACAAAAGACTTTGACTTGAAATATTTTATTACCAACAGAAAAATCCATAACAATATATATATATATATATATATATATATATATATATATATATATATATAAAAATGTTGTATTTTCAGCTTGCAGTCTAGGTACAAGCAGTAAGTGTACACATATACACATATCACATACATCCTGCAGTGAGTGGGTGCATCCGAATTGCCAAGTGCCTACACAATCTTTCAGTAGTCAGTAGACAGTACTATCTGTGCTGTATACTTTTAGTTCAGTAGGTGCGCACAGTAGGCAGATATTTGTTCTTACTTCATCTGATTCATTCACTAAGGAAGAGGCGTCATTTACGTTAACCGAACCGGCCGCATCCATCCGTTTTTTTTTTTGTTTAGTTTTATTCAAGAAGAGTAAAGCACATATAGCTGCAATCAGGTAAACAAAAAACAATATCACAATGTAAATTAAGTTAAAGATTAAATAATATACAGTACCCACAGGAAGGTACAAATGAAAGACAGTAATGTGCAGAATATAAAGTAAAATAAACCAATAAAGACGCATACATAGTGAATTCATTATTTCAATAGAGGTTTTATAATAATGCAGACATTTGTTATATTTTCTGTTGTTAATTAAAAGTAGTGATTTCAGATTTTTTTACTGATTTAATGAGCCATTCGCGTTTCACTGTACCGGCCGTTTGATTAACTCTAGATTAAAAATTGATTCAATTAATCCATGCTCCTTTGTTTTGATTTGGAGGCGCACGTGAAGTGACGTCTTACTTGGCACAGCATTGTGGGTGGTAAAATACAATTCATTTCCTGAAAGGATGCATCCGATCCATACTGCATGAAACCCAGAAGTTAGTATCCATGCTGAAATGTTCAGTTTACTGAGGTGGACCCAAAAAGGCAGAAAGGGCCAGTGTTTGTTTCTGGGGGCGATGAGCCCAGGAGGAGGGGCCCAGTTTGAGTGTTGTGTTTACAAGCTTTTTTCTACCTTTAAATACATCTTAAAATGTAGCTTATACTTTGCTTTTTCTTTTTGTTAAGGGTAAATATTTCAGGTGACCTTTGAATTCCAACACAAACATGATCCACTGTGATATCTTTACTAGATAAAAGTAGTTAGAGGCAGTTGCAGCGAAAGAATACACAAACAAATGCTCTGTGCTTTGATTTACTTTATGTTGGACTTCACTTAGTTGTGTTTGATTACAGAAAAATGGGTTAGAAAAGTGATACGATCCCACTGTAGCTTTCTTCTAACAGTCATTATGTTCTACCGGAGTGCTTGTATGACAACACATTAGAAAATGCACCAAGTTCACATAATGAATACATTACTTACTGTAACATCAACTGTTTATACTTCAATTTAGGTGAATAGGTCATAAATGTAGTTTGAAATGTATGGATTGAGATGTTAAAGAAGTTCAAATGAACCATACATTAAAACAGATGAAATAAATATTGAGCTCTGTTTCCGAAGTGGCTGTGCAAAGTATTTGACAAACAGGAAACTGAAGTGAGAATAATTATAACAGTATTTCAACATATTCCTAATTTATGAGCACCAAATATGAAATCTTGTTTTCCATTTCTATGTGTGATGAGGACAACAGAGGTCAAATCAGACAGAGCAGCACCTCCAGCCAGAGAACTGTCCCAAATGATTTGGTGTGTTGCATAGTTCTTGTGTTGCCTAGCCCTCCTTTCATACAGCAGGGGATGTAAGTGTCATGAAGCTGAAGGAGTCCTGTAAGGTGGTACCCACAGGAAACGGAGTATTTTATCATCCAGACAGATTCTTCTGTATTCTTCTTACTGGCCACCAGGAGCTTCCTGTCTCTGCAGGAAGTCCTTCAGCTCCAGTTTGTACCAATCAGGGGCCTCTGGGCCATTTTTCCCTGTGGCCTCGTGATCGTAACCATAAGCAACATACAGCTCCTCGTCTTTCTGCACGGCCCGCAGCGTTCGGATGCACTTGATTATCCCAAAACGGGGGTGGAGGAACCTGCACAAAACAGAAATAGAAAAAATTGAAATTCTACAAAACAGACCGAAAGTGTTTCACTGCGCTTCAACGAGGAGAATTTAAGGGCGCGGTCACACTGGCAATCCGAACTGTGCCTAAGCACGTCTCACCCCTAAAGTCCAGTTTGTTTGACCAGTGTGACCGCTCCGTGCCGTACTCGGCATTTAGCCCTAACATACAACTAACAGCTGCTGTGTGTGTAGCACTTTAGCGTCTCTCACAAGGGGACAACAAAGTGAATCGTACCGTAAACATTGTTCCTCGGCTTAGTTTATTTTGATTCTACTTTTTGCAGTTTAGACAAAACATTGAATGATTGAAATCCAAGTTGGCTATATTGAAAAGGTATTAATAGACGACATTTATTAATGTATGGTGCAAAATTAAGGAAAACTCATAAAAAAAGACTCTTACACTGATATGTCAGCACTCTAATGTGTCAAAGTATGTTTTTAGTGTTACTTTTGTTACGCCCCACCATAAAGACGGCCCTACAGGGCTAACAGCAAACCATATTAAAACCCATTAAAAGACACTAACCACCTTAACAAAAGTCAAAACAAAGGGATTTATTACAAAATGACACACTAAATGATAACAAAGATCAAAAGAGACAACAGACAATCCCTAACTGAGCAGCACAGCAGTCCCAACTCAAAATGCCTCTCCTCTCTGCAGCCAGCACTGGTCTTTTAAGCTCTGAGGCCAGGTGTTGCAATTCGTTGTGCAATTAGTAGCTTCACCTGGGCTGGAGACAACGGAAGGGGAGAACGGACACAGGGCACAGGGAAACATACAGCCGTAACACTTTGTATAGACTTTTTACATTTGAAAATAGTTTTGTTCAGTGTTTTATTTTGTATAACATAAGATAAGACACTTTATTGTCATTGTACGCGATACAACCAAATTTGGTTGGTGACAAACAGCCCAGCAGCAATCTGAGATTAAAATAAGATAAAAAATTAAATATATTAAAACAGCAGGTTAGGCACATACAACAGCACACCATATAAGTACAGGAATAAGTTATTGCACAGAGTAACCATATTGCAGCATGTTTAAAGTGCAGTATAGTCTCAAGTCTTAAGGCATGTTCTTTGCTTCCTGTTTGGATGAAGGCCTGCTCTTATTTTGGAGGAAAATAAGGTACTAAGGAAAGGTAGAAAGAAAGTTATGACATTAACTTAACCACAGAAAAAGGAACTCGCTACAGATTTCAGTAAATGAAAACAGCTCAAAGGAAGTCTTCCACTAAGCTGTGTGGGTTATGGTTAAAGCTGACCACTGTATCGCCACGGAGTAACAGGAGTAACCCAGCGATCCCTACCGTTGTATTCATTGGTACAGTTCTTGTAACATTTAAATCTTTTTGAGACTTGTTCCTCACTTGTGTATTTCTCTTCCTGTCTTTGTACTCACGGTTCGTATTTGCAGTTGGGGGTGAAGGAGTGATTTCCTTTGTGACCCAGAGACGCACAGTATCTTTCTATGAGGTCGAATGGCCGCGGGACGTCGATCACCGTGTCCTCATCCAATGAGATTGTGTTTCCGTTCATCGCCCAGTCCCTGCTGTCCACCTGAGGAGGCCACGAAAAATGGTTTAATTAGTACAAATAATAAAAACATTTATACATTATTAACGAACCAATATGTACCTCTGACACCTAGTGTTTAGAATTTGATACTGCAGTCAAAATCTAAGTTGTCTCCCCCCCGCACCCTTTTCCATTGAGTCGATGCACACGCAGGTTGCCGTGTCGTGGACAACTGAAGCTTCAGTGTTTAGCCAACTCTGCATTAGCCTTGGAATCTTTCTGCATTCTAACCTCTCTCCATTTTTCAAAAGCATCTCCAATACTGATCCTAGTTTTACCTAGTTTCTTTCCCCGCAGAGCTCATTAGAAAAATGCAGAGGCTTTTTTTAAAGATTTATTTTTGGGCTTTTTGTGCCTTCAAAGGAGAGATAGGACAGTGGATAGAGTTGGAAATCAGGGAGAGAGAGAGAGAGGAATGACATGCGGGAAAGGAGCCACAGGTGGGATGTGAACCAAGGGCCGCCCGCTTGAGACAACAGCCTCCATACATGGGGCGCGCGCACTAACCACTGCGCCACCAGCGCCCCAATGCAGAGGCTTTTTACGTCAGGTAGAATCAGTTCTATCTGAACCAGTTTGCTTCCTCGCTTCCATCGCTCCAACACCTGTTGGTTGGCAGTGATAACTGGTCTCTTATCTGGCAAACTGAGGGATATCCAAAACGTTGATTCCTACAAAAAAACAACTGTTTTTACTCATTATTTGAAGCTTTTTTCAACTGTCATCTATTACGTAAACTTAGTTAGATTTTAATTTTACTGGACGAAGCCTGAGTGATGTCACCCATCTGTTACTGCAGGGGGCTTTGGAAGCTCATCATTCTTGAAATGCTCAACCCTCAGTCAACCTAACAACAGGCAGAGAGCTGGAGCTGAGGGCGGGTTTTAAGACAAACAGCATGGCGCCAACCTGTCAATCATGTCAGCTACGCTCTTAACTATGCATAAACTCGTAACCTTCATAAAAATCCAAACAGATGCGTTAAAAAAAGTTCACCCTCCGTACATTGTGTTCCCATGAGATAATTACTAATCAGACCTATATGGTATTTTGCACCATGCTGTAAACATGTTAATATCTGCTGTTACAACAGACTTTTTTTGAATGTGGTGTGTATGTGACTTCCGGGGCTCTTGCAGCTGGCTTCAAGCGGACCCTCGACGTAATGCAGGGTTTTTTATTTCAGCATTGGCTTCATTTTTAACACCAGACGTTGCTGCTTGGTTCAAGCTGACTTAATGTTGGGATTTTCATTTTATAAATATTGCATCCAAGTTGTAATTTTCAAATTTTGAATGACTTCAGGGACTCTAAAATCTTGCCAAAAACCCTGGTTATACTCTTGTTTGGCTGTCACTGCTATTAATAGTTTCTTTCTCATTAACGACGCTCCTTGTGCCATACCTCAGAGTGTGTGATTCGGACTCCGTTATAAAAAGCCATCACGGTGTCCGTCTCAGCATCGGTCTTTGCAAACAGACCCTGTCCTGCTCCTTTGATCAGAGAGTCTGCAACAAAAACCCTGAAGACACGGTGACAGCATGAAGAGAAGATGGAACATTTATTCTGACGCTGAATTCTTGATTTGAGGGTAAGTCATGGATAAGGCTAACATAATGTATAAACGTACATTTTGCTCTCATAAGGATCAGGCAGCAGAGTGTGTGTGGCGATACAGGTGGACGTGGACTTGTCGTATGAGTAAACTGGACCTTTAAAAACATAGAGTGTTATGTTAGTACAAAAGCCTCCTTCAGTAAATACAGAACAGCTCAAGCCTCACTAATCCAACTTCATATACAAGTTGTAAAAAATGACAAAAGAGCAACAGTTTTTAGACCATGTGTTCATTTTAAAGCCATTCGTGCCAGGAAGTGGGTGATCATTCTACAGTATACCCGTAAATTGGTCTCACCTTTAATAGGACGCTGCCACCGTTTTAAATGAATGTAATAAAAGTAAGTCTTATACAGTGGATTTTACAGTCAGTCACTTTAAGGACCAATATTTAACTCTGACACGTAGCGTTTACAATGGGTACTACAGTCCAAATTCAAAACACTGCTATATGCAATGCGGGTATGATTTAATGCATAAATGGTAGATTTCATTAGACAGGTTCGATCTTTAAGCCCAATGGATCTGTTCTAATGTGGAGGTGACACTTAAAGGACTAATACAAAACTCTGACACCTAGTGTTTAAAATAGTTACTGCAGTCCAAATTCAAAACATTGGAGAGTTGTCTCCCCCCCGCCCCCTCCTCACTAGAGTATGCTCACATAGGTTGCCATGTCTCAAACACTGAAGCTTCAGTGTTTATCCAGCTCTGCATCGGTCTGTAAACCTTTCTGTGTTCTAACCTCTCTCCATTTTTCAAAAGCATCTCCAATATTGATCTTAGTTTGAGCACGTTTCTGCTCGTGGAGCTTATTAGAAACATGCAGAGGCTTTTTATGTCGGGTACAATCACTTCTATCTGAATCAGTTCTCTTGCCCACTTCCGAGGGGCAATCCGAGGGGGGTCCATTACGGCTGAGTGGGGGTGCTTTAAAACTGCCAACGTTCTCAGATCCAAACAAATACTGACATTCAGGACCAGAGTCTAAAGTTAGAAGGAGGACATACTGGCTGCTGCGTTGTTGTCGGAGAAGCCAGCACTTCAACATGGCACGTTTCCTTAATGTCTGATGGTAAGGTAATTTGATCACTGATATGCCTGCATGATGAGGTCATTTTATGAATGAATTCAGTACAGATTGGACCTTTAATAATTGTCATATTTCATTGATTCAGTTGAAGCATGATCATGCTTTTTTTTTTAAATATCTTTAACAAATTTATTTTGAAAACTTTTCACAATTTCGTGATTATTATTTTTGCTTTTATCATTGTTTTTTTTTTTTTTTATCTTTTCTCATCTTTGATTGTAGCCTGAAAAAGATCATTTTTTTTCTAGTCTCTACTTCAGCTTTTTACAATGTGTCAGTCCATTGTAAAGTCAATTAAAGCCATTTAAAAAGCAGCTTATAAAGTTAGACATGTTTATGATCAATGACGTCTCCACTCACTGTTGGATGTGATTTCAAAGCGTGGTCTTCCGCTCTGATTGGAGATCAGGGTGGCGCAGCGAGCCTCAATCAGCTCGCCGTCCACAAAGCTTCCATGAAGAGCGGTGAGTCCGTCGGGGTAGATGTACGCTATAGAGTCACCAGTCAGCTCCCCGTCATTATTCACCTCACCAGACACACAGCCTCCATCCTAGACTCACACACAGTACACACCAACATCCACAACAGACACAGTTAACAAAGGTTGTCTACACTTTCGTTTCCGAGAGTCAATAAATAAATAAATACGGTTAAATGGTCGCATGAGAAACCTTTAGTTTTGGCTCTTAGGATATATACCATACCAGTGTGGGATTTCATATTTCGTTACGTTTGCTGTCGTCAAACAGCCATCGAGTTGTAGAATATGTTTTGTATTGAAATACTACTCTGTGTCCCTTCACATTTTCACTATCTACTTTATTTCAGCTGCTTATAAAAAAAAAAATAATAATAATAATGATTCGTCCAATTTTTTTTAATGATTTACCAACTGGAACAAACGATACAGCATTATTGGAAGCTTGATCCAAAAGGTAACTGGACTGGTTGAAGACGTTACACCTCTCCTCCGAAAGGCTTCTTCATTTCAAAATGTTCTGGTGGGCGGAGCTAGAAATGTAAGCCTCTTAGTATGCAAATGATCGAGGATGACTCACATTACATCCTACCATGACCTGGATGACTGAGAACCTACTCAGACAACACAGCATTATCCTCTCATTTCCAGCATTCGAGCCTCTCACCCTTACTGCTTATTTCCACATGTTCCGTGTGTTGCTGCATTTTGTCAGCGCCGCGGTTTTGCTCCATCAGACGGCACGCGCCCTGCCCCACTGGGTCCATGAGCAGCTGTACACAAGATGTTCTCAAGATCACACGGGAATAAAGAGGAAACAACATGTTGCTTTGTCTTTCTGAGGTTGCTTTGTTGTTCATTCGGGGCCTGTGTTGACGTAATGCTGATTAAGTGATGGGAAATATGATTGAAAGAATGCTCTGTGCGTTTCCTTATCTGTATATTTCTCCGGGTTGATCTAACCTGTCCAGCTTAACGCGTGCTTGATCGAAAATGGACTTTGAGCGTATTTGAAACGGAGCAGTGCGTGGTGGCACTGCTGGCGAGCACGATGTGGAAACAGGAACATTGAGTAGAATGACAGCGGACAGCATTGTAGAGCGCAGTGCTGACGGACCGCAGCATGCACGGACTATGTGGCAATTGGAAGTTGGGAGTGACATCAGAGTAAAATGGCCTCCGGTTGAACATGATGAACCTTGTATGAAAACATGGCGGTTGTGTTGCACTGAGCACTGAGCGAACTCACAGGGTAGTAGACTTGACAATCTCCACAGCGGATGTTTTCTTTGTACTGGCCCTTAAAGACCAGGCGGCCCTCTCCATTGAACTCCTGAGCGGGCCCGTTCAGCTCGCCGTCAACGTAAGTCCCGTGGAGGACGCCGCCCTCTTCATATTTGTACACCCCCTGACCCTGCAGAGCATCGTCTACATAGAAACCCTCCATGGTGCTGCGGAGAAACGCAGAGGAGAGCTGCGATGAAACTTCAGCTATCATTATGTCCTGTTACCTTAGATTAAGAGATGTAAACAAGGTCAGTGCTGTAACCATTTTCAAAGTGTATATAAATAACAGGGCTGACCCCATGTAGTCATATTCGACGATTCGTACATTGGAGCCAATAAAGGAGCATTCCATTCCAGCTATATGGGGGTGTTTATGTTTTCTCCAAATAATTCATGGCTCATAGCTTATCTTGGTATACATATCAACTAGTGGTGTGAGATAAGACGACCTTAGATCGTGAAGGATGAGAATCTGTTGACGATCTGCCAAAGCAGAGAGATCGTAGAATAAGATACAGTTGAATTCTGCAGGGCTAAAATAGAACAGAAACACAGGACTAGAAGTCTACTGTTGTTAAATGAATGTACTACTGTATGAAAATGTGCCTGATAAAGCCTACAATAGATTAAAAAATACAAAAGAGGACACTGACAAAGTCATATTTATAAAGTGGTGCAGAAAACACTTTAATTGTGTATAAAATGTGATTAGAATGAAGGGAAAGACATTTCTAGTGAGATCTTTTTTCAAATAGACCAAACTTATTAGCACCGTTTTTGTGCATTTAAAAACTTTATACAGGGAAATATGTATGGTTGAACTGGTCAGTAACTTGCATATTAGTCTTAAAGATCAGTGTGAAAAAACAAGCGCCGACAAGAGATGTCAGTCATCGATACAGTCGTGTGTCTGTGTCTGCTGTATTGGACATGTTTAATATGGTTATGAGGTCATATTAATGCAGACTTAATAAGTGGGGAAAATGATGTCCTCTCATAGAGTAATCTGTTATTCCAAGATTAGAAGACAAACAGTTTAATGATGGGGTTAAACTGAAATGAGAATATGGAACAATGGGCGCAAAATAACAACAAAAAACGATTAGGTGATCAGTCGACGATGGGCATAATTTGACGAATCAAGTTGGACTACGTAAATCCTAAAACAGGGACAGGAGTAAAAAAAAAAACAGCCTGGTGATTAACACATATTCAGATGTCCAAAAATCAAGACAGACTCAAGAATGCCATCCCAGTGGCGCTACAGTTCATCTTTCGCAAAACGTGTTATCAACCTGAAGATTTGATCCTGCCTTCTGAACGTAGACTAATACTCCATAGTTTGTTTAAAATGTACCGCTCTGATAACACATTTTAGGTGCTATGTGGCTGTTTTCTTTGCCGTACCTTCCATCAAAGAAGAAGAACTTGCCCTTCCCATTCTTCTCTCCGTGGGAGAAGTGTCCTTCAAAACGATCACTGGATGAGTATGTTACTGTGCAGAAGCCATGAGGCTGATCGTCCTCGTCCAGAGGACCTGAATACACACACACACACAGCAAAAAGAAACACACAAAGGAACAGTAACAAAGGTTTTTTTTTTTATATATAAATACATTTTATTTAGTTTTTCAAAATTATAGAACAAAGAAATCCTGACGGGGCAGGATAAAACACACACAGACAACCATATGCAACAAGACAAAACATAAACAGACAATGACGATAGCCTCGTCCTGTGAGGAAGGCACTGAGGACCTGATCGGACACGCCTCAGATCAGAAGCCCAGCTTCCCTTCAACAGGACATGGCTTGAACATAGACATGGAAGGGGAGGGGATGGGGATGCCTATTCTGAATTGCATGTTAACACAAATAATAAAGAATACAAATTGATCCATATACCTATCTACTACATACATTTGCATGTAAAGTCGTAAATAAACAGATTTAATTAACCATATATACATTGGTTTCAAATTGTGATACAAAAGGGGTCTGTGTGAGAAAAAGAGAGATATACACAAACATATAAATTTACGCACATACATACATACACATGTAGCCTACACATGTAGCCTACACATGTAGCATACACATTGCGATACAAATCCAGTAATAACCTTCAGGGCGTTAAACAGGAACGGTAACAAAGGTTAATGTTTGATTACATGAGGTGGATATAACTTTCGACTCATCAGCTGAGCTGTCTGAGAGTTTGAAATGACAGCAGTTATGTTTTCTTTTTACAGAGAAAATAACATGTGATTAATCGTGATAAATAAATAAATGATGCATTACTCTCCGATATCAGAGACTAGAAACGGCCCTGGGCGCCTACAACAAGATTTCAGACGTATGTTGTAGTTTCATTCACAAAATAACCCTGGATTCTGTCGCGTCACACAGTTTTCATTCTTTAAGATGTGGGAACATTAAGGACACAGTGTAATTCAAAGCGATACAAACACAAAGTAACAACACGCCACACCTCTGCACCGTTACTAATCATCAGAAACCGGACGCACTTTGAAACAGGACTTGGAAAAACTAATATGTATCCGTTCTTGTTGTTTATTTTTGCTCTGGTTGAATTTATCCAGCAGCCACACTGTCAGCGGGACTCTGGTCTACTACGAGCCTCCCTCACTCGCTTGTCACGCGGGTTTCCTCCTGAAATAAAGTCCGCGGCGCGGGGCCTTCTGACTCACCGGCTTTATAACAGATTAAAAGTGAACCAGAAAACACGCTTCAACCAAAACATCGTATCCTACCTAACAAGGAAATGAAGAGCAGAAATGTGGTGTTTACCTTCCACGACCTCTTCTAGGTTTTCGTCATCGCTGTCCATGCTGCACGAGGCTGCAGAGCGAGCAGCTCACCTCGTCTCCGCACGTCAGCCACGAGGCGTCAGCCGCGCGTGTTATGATTTCACATCTGACGAGTTCAGAGCTGACGAACACTTAAGCAGATGTGACAGAATGTCAAACCCATTAGTTCACAGATTTCGTTGACAGACTGGGTATCAGACTTATCTTGGACTTATGAGATCATATGATGCATGGCTTGGTGGGTTATGAGGAATCCAGTTTTTATCTCTTAGATAAAGTATAGTTATTTATAAGTCAGTCAGTCAGTCAGTCAGTCATCATGACACAGCAACAAAAACAAGAAATCAAAGATCAAATTTTTCTAAATATTACTTAAATAACCCAAATAATCCAACAAAAACAAGAAAATGTCTCTTAACATGTTTTCTGGACAACTTTAAATATCTGGTGCCTAAACTACAGTGGCCCTGAAGGTAAACAGCAACCTTTCCTTGAGTGAAATGTTTTTACAGTTGACCTTCAAGGCCACCTTACAAAATTCAGACCAAAAATAAGTATATTTTACAGAAACAAAGAAAGGATTAAAGAAAAACATTGTTCATGTGAAGGGAAATGTCCTAAAATGTCATTGAAATAAGGCTATTTACCGTGGAATATGGGAACAAATTTGCATTTTCTGTTTTAAACAGGAACACAGACCACATTTTAATGTAGGTGTCTGAATGATTGCAGTTTGTTTAAAGAAAGTAGAAATGTTAAAAAATTATTAAAGGGAAATAACAAATGAAGGATGTCCCATGTTTTAAAAAATAGTTTAAAAGACTAATTTTGTGATCCCAAGTTGTGTGAAGTTTTCTGTTTTTATTCATTAGACTACATCTCAACACAAGTTCTGCTTCATGTGTGGTGCAGTAGTGTGTTGCTGTCTTTACAACATAAGGAGAGAGGTCAGGAAATGAATCAGTTTGACCAGAATGACCAAATCTACCAGGATGAGGGAGGTGTCTTAAAAGATCAGAATGTAACTGTGCAAAGGATGAAAACAATTTCACAAAGCTATTTTGAGACAAAGTGGGTTATTTTTTCCTCACACAACATGACTTATAACAGAAGCACTAGCTGACAATGTGAAGCAAGAGTAGTAACTAAGTACTTATTTTAAGCTATTTTTGATCATTATGAACCATATTTTTATTAGGTTCTTTCTTAAGCACATAATTTGAAATCAAAATTCAGGCAAATACAGATTCTGTAGTCGGAGGACTTCAGTTTTAAACCTAAAGAGAGTTAAGGTTCTCTCTGGAGTTCCACAAGGATCAGTCCTTGGGGCCCTGCTCTTTAATTTATGCTCCTGCTGAGAACAATAATTAAGAAACATAACACTGCTTTCACCTTTCAAACACACAGTTGTACATTTAACTTTCATCAGAGGAACAGATTGTATAAACAATATAAACACCTGGATGTCCAGAAACTTTGTAAAACTAAAAACAGACAAGACTGAAATACATTTTGTTGGTCCACAAACTCAGAGACAGCAAATCCATCTACACCTCAAAACTATGTCCATTAAATACAATCAGCAATTCAGAGATCTTTGCATTATTTTGGATTCAGATCTTAGCTTTGACAATCATATCTCCAGCGTTACTAGAACGGCATTTTATCATTTAAAGAACAAATCAAAACTGTGATCATTCATAATCAAAACAGACTGTGGCTCAGTCGGTAGAGACGTCATCTCGTAACTGGAAGATCGAGGGCTTGATCTCCAGCTCCTGCAATATGTCCAATGTGTCCTTGGGCAAGACGCTTAACCCCAAATTGCTCCCGCTGCTCCATCAGTGGTGTAGAGTTGTGTATGAATGGGATTAGATACTTCTGATGGTGTCACTACAGAAACCTCTACCATCAGTGTGCGAATGGGTGTGAATGGGTAGGTGTGACATGCGATGTAAAAGCGCTTTTCGTAATCTGAAGAGTAGAAAAGCGCTGTACATGCTCAAGTCCATTTACCATTTAAAACGGTGACTGTTATGCTGTTATGTTAATACTCAATTTGCTCCCTGTACAACACACAGTCACCTTCAATAGCCTATAATTAGTCCATAAAGCTCTCAATGATTCCACTCCTAAGTACATTTCTGACCTGCTCACATGTAGTTCAAACTGACCCAGACCCTCAGGTCATAAAACTGGAGGTCTGTTAGTCGTACCAAGAATTAGATGGAAGTCCGGAAAGAAGGCCTTTAGTTACTGTGGTCCTTCCCTCTGGAACAAACTACCTGCTGACCTGAGGTCCATCACCAGAGGTGCTCCTTGTCAACAGGCAAGGCTGGCAACTGCTTGGGGCCCCAGGCTAGTAGGGTCTGACAAACTTTAAACCATAGCAGTGACCCGAAATGTGCAAATTTTGCAATGACAGTAAGAAACCCCCCTAATGGGGGCCCATTTGACAGCTCTCACCCTCGTTGCCCTGCTAAGCATTATTGCAGTGAATACCAAAGGTTGTTGAAGAGGAATTATCTGTCTATAGAAAAGATAGATAGATAGATAGATAGATAGAAAACAGAAACAGGAAACAAGAGGAAGAGGAGTAAACATGGGGACACTGGCAGACATGTTGGTGATAAATGCAAATGTAGGGCCCCTAATTATTTATTGCCTGGGGCCCAAACAGACTCCCGAATCACCACTGTCCATCACAACTATCTTTACTTTTAAAGCTGAACTTAAAACCAATTCTAATTTATCCCAAGCAAAAGTTATTGACTGTGTATGTGTGTGTGTGTGTGTGTGTATGTGTGTGTGTGTGTGTGTGTGTGTACATGTTATCACGTTTCATTGGTTGTATGTACAGTATGTTATTATTATTATTATTTATGCTTTTTGGTGTTTAATGTGTCTGATGTACATTGGGTGCGTGTTTTTATTGATTTCATATTCCTCTCTTATTCATTATGGTTGAAATAACGTAAGAATGTCAAAATGTAAAGCACAATGAGCTTAGCTGTAATGAAATGTGCTTTATAGATAAACTTTCTCTTTTCTTCTATTCATTATATCACTCTTCTCGTGTGTTCTTTAGCAGGGCAGGGCTTTGATAACATGACAGCACTTGTTGTGGGATGTCCTAAAGCAAAAGCTCCCCACCCCCAGGATGTCTGTTCTGCTGGTTGTGTAAAGTTCACTTTGTACTTCATGAAGACTGAGCATTGTGCGTTTAGTTTTTAGCAGAGCCATGGGATCAAACTCCCCTTTCCTGTTGGCTGAAGTGACTCTTCTGTCGGCCCTGCAAATGGGTGAGCTGAAAATATCTATTTAACCTCACTGTTTAGTTAGAGACACACAAAGTGCTTTTCTCACATTCTCGTAAACTTATGTGGGAGTTTTCCATGTTAAACTAGGAGCCGTACCCGTACGTGACATACCAGAGAAAAAGAAAACTATACAAAAACCTTTTTTATTCATGCTCTGATGTAGTGGAACAATGATAAGCTTTGAAAGTTAAACTTCTCCTCTGTAGACATGCAGGCTTTCAGCAGACTGAAAAACCTGTCTGTCCTCTACATTTGTATGTAAATGTTATGAAAGAGATAATTAGGACCTGGCTTAAGTCTGTCTCCTTGCAGGTTACCTGGCCCGGCGGGTTGGCTTGTCCAGGATGGCCCATAAAGTCCTGCCTCCTGCTGTGACTGGACCTCCAGAGTTTGAGAGGACTTTCAGAGCACAGTGAGAGAACTAACACGTCTCTTCTTTAACTTGTGCAACACAGACTACATGTCTTATATTCTACAATATGTGTGATATAACCAAGAAAACTTAAATCTGCACAACAAAGTGTGTGCAATGCATCTGTCAGTCCACGGTGAAATATCTCAACAACAAGCAGTGGTTCATGGTACACTGTTTATTGTAGTCTTGGGGGAATTTGTTTTTTAACATGTACATACTGTTGCCTACTGATCGAAGTGTTTAGTTAACCCTAAAATGTGCAGACTTCTATAAATGTTTTGGAAAATTAAGGAATTGTGTGTGTGTGTTTGCAGTCAGAACTGTGTGGAGTTTTACCCTCTCTTCTTGGTCACTCTGTGGACCTGTGGCATGTTCTTCAATGAGGCGACGGCAGCTGCAGCAGGTCTGGTCTACATGATCGGTCGACAGATTTATTTCAACGGATATGTCAATTCCAGCAAGAAAAGGTGGATTATAAAACATTATTCTTACAATATGATTGAATGTTTAATATGTTTTATCAAATGTTTTTTTATTATTATTTGAAGACTGTGATAAAGTTGACTTGGTGCCTTCTGGTTTGCAGGCTACCTGGATTTTTTCTGAGCCTGGCCGTCCTCGGCACTCTGTCCCTGCTGGCTTTTCTTGGAATAATGCGAGGAATATTACACAAATACTTTCACATCCATCTCGACTGAATAACACAGAACACATTTCAGCAGCGGGGGTCATTAGAGAAAACAAGGTTGTGAACAGGATACTCCTCTGCAACTTTTTGAATGATGTTGAATAAGTGTTTTGTATTGAAATGAGGGCTGTCAAACCAGTGATTTTTAAATCGTGATTAATCACTGAATTTCTATAGTTAATCACAAGTTTCCCTTTAAAAGTAGAGACAGTAGGGGTCCTCAGGTCAGCAGGAAGTTTGTTCCAGAGAGAGGGACCATAGTAACTAAAGGCCTCCTCTCTGGATTTGATTGAAGTACAGCTAAAAGACCTCCATCTGATGATCTGAGTGGCCAGGTAGCAAGGGGCGTGTCTGCAGGGTTTGGCCAGGGGTTGCACAGCCCCCTCTTTAAATCTGGCTGTCCCCCCCAGGTGCCACCCCAAAATCCAAATCTTTGATTGGCTATTTGCCTCATCAGAGAGAGCGGGACTTAAGTTAAAATAATAAAATAGTAATTTTAGATCACTCAACTTTTTCATTTGGTTATGGAAGGCATCTCGTGACCCCCCTCTCAGTGTCTCACGAGCCCCCATGGGGTCCCAATCCCCACTTTAAGAACAGTAGAGTCTGGAGAAGATGGCTTGGTAGAAATTAACTGTATGACGGTAAATAAGATTTGAAGTCAGGCATATCTTAATACCATAGCCCAGGGATTCCCAAAGTGGGGGTTGCGAGATGCCTCTAAAAAAACAAATACAAATGTAAAATTGTATATTTTACATAGCCTATTGCCTTCTCATTGTTAACGTCTATACATAGAAATGACTTGTATTCTGCTTCGAGTCTTTGTTGCGATAAAATACTCTAAAATAAATCCTTTTATGTTTTCTAGGATGCTGTATTCTTTTGTGTGAACAGTGTTTGGATAGGCCTTTGAGTGTGCACTGCATATATTCAAACATATCATGAAACTTCATTTTTAGATTTTTTTTTTAATGGAAATTCATTCATGTTCAAAGATTTATAGGCTTCATGTCTGCATATTTAAGGGATAATAATGTGGATTAAACAGCGGATCAAAACAACAGTTACATGGTAAAAATTGATATATTTTAATGATAAAGATACAAACTATTTTCAAAACACTTCAGATATTTTAGCAGCATGCAAACACAAATATACAATTATATATATATATATATATATATATATATATATATATATATATATATATTGTACATCCACATGTGTGACAGCTCAATGTTGAGATGAGTCCCAGGCCTTCTCATAGACTGTAAATCAAAGTCTCCTGATACAGTCTGTGTTCTTACTGCTGGGCACACTGGTTCTCCATGGTGCTGTTTGAGCCCACATGGATCATCTCCACTGTTCTCGGTTTCTTTCTTCTCTCCTCTCTCTTGTTCTGCTGCTGGTTCTCCTCAGTCACAGGAGAGCTGAGGGCGGGATCACAAATACACACGGTGATCACTCAAATATTCCACTGACCCTCACTCGAGCAAGATCCAAGTCATAAAATCAATCAATGTACAAGTTGACTGGGTTGGGAACCGGAGGGTCGCCGGTTTAAGTCCCGGTGCGGACCAAGTATGGAAGTTGGTCTGGTAGCTGGAGAGGTGCCAGATCACCTCCTGAGCATTGCCGAGGTGCCCTTGAGCAAGGCACCAAACCCCCTCCCCACCATCAGCTCAGGAGAGCCCACTGTGGGCTGCTCCGTCACTCTGACATGTCTCCATTAGTGCATGTCCATAGGATCCTGTTTGTGAATGTGTGTGTTGCATGACTTAGAGTGTAAAAACTGAAATTTCCCCTTGCGGGGATCAGTAAAAGTAAATCTTAATCGTAATAATATGTAGTAGGCAAATAAAAAATGAATACAAATATGGACAATTTACATATTTTTGGAAACAAAATAAATTGCAAAACTCGTTTTAAACCAGCAGAGGGCGCTATCTGATTTTGGCTTCTCATTCTCCTGTTTGTGCATGTGTGTAATTCAGGCCTATGTGTATGAGAAGCATATCTCTCAATAATAGAGTCGTATAATAACAATAATAAAAATATATATATACTGTGTATAAAAATAAACCAAACTCCAGGGACAAGTGGGGTGCCCGGTCTCTGAAAAGTTTGGGACCTGACCTATATGACAGCTTAAAAAAAAATAAAGCTACTGCTTACCTCTGCAACTTGCAATCCACTTCAAATGAGATTATATTACGTTCATGTTTATTTAACTGAGCTCTTGCTATGTTTTACGTAAGAAAAACTGATATCTATGAAAGCTCTGCTGGTCACAGCACAGACTGAGTAGAACAGAAACACACTACAACACAGCGTCACATTTTTTCAGACAGCAGAGTGAGAATTATGTTCAGTGAAATGAAAAGTGAGGAGGTCCCAACTGCTGAAAAGAAACAATGCTAAAACCCCTCATAAGGCTTTATAAATAAACACACTCAGAATGTGCAGCTCAACATTGAACCTGATGCAAAAAAAACATATTCATATTTTGACCTACACACACACACACACACACACACACACACACACACACACACACACACACACACACACACACACACACACACACACACACACACACACACACACACACACACACACACACACACACACACACACACACACACACACACACACACACACACACACACACACACACACACACACACACACACACACACACACACACACACACCTTGGGTTGGGGATCACAACAGGCTCATCTCCGCTGATCTTCACACACTTTGCAGGCCGCGGCTCATCGTGGGAAACTGCAGCACAAAGAGGGGGGTATCAACAGGTCAGCTCTACCACAAGAAATGCACCAAATACTGTCAGAGTTTACCCTGACATTCATGGTACCATAAATGGGGGGGTTCAAACCGTCTTCCTGTCTGATGATATCCATTGTGTTCAGTAAAGTCCAACACTTGAAGTTGTGCAGCTGTGTTGCTCTTTTAGTTCCATCTGTTTTCACTTTGTGAAGCTTGCTCTCCTATTAGCTACAGTACGGTCGTTGAGCTCTCTGCCCATAGTGAAAGTTGTTTAGTCCGGACCAAGTCGCCTTGCCCACGTCAGCTGGTCACTCCTTAACTTTAATATAGGAGTCTTTCAATCAAGTCAGCGCTCCACAAGCTTTATTTACTGAACAGTGCACCAACATTTTCTTTAGATGTATGATTATGAACTAATGAGGGAGAAAAGATGTTAAGATGCACGCAGCCAGCCTGGTCTGCGTTGTTATCCAGCACAGCTTGCAATACACGATGAATGGGGGGAACTTTCAATCGTGTCGGGTTGTGTGCAGCGTGGTGGTGGCAGCGGCTGAACTTGTGTTCATGGGTTAGTGTTTTATACCGATTTATTGGTTGCACTGTATAAAGGAAGCAGCTGATTTGTTAGATGGACAAAAAAAAGGTATTAAAAGTGAGTCTAATATTCCCCGCATTTTACGGTTATTTAAAACAAGAAATGATGCAACATCGGGTGTCAGGGCTTCACTCTTTGTTGCTGTTGTACTGAAACAGATATCCATATCATTTGATTTTCACTAGAAACATATTTAAGTTTAAAATTATGGTGCAACATTCGACTCTGTATCAAGCTGCAAAGTAAGTGACTGACCTCCGGTGTTCACATCTTGTTTGGAGCTCAGAGCCTCAGCTGTAGAAGAAGAGTCCACTTCAGAATCTGCAGTCTTTGTGTTTGTGACCTCCACCTCTGCAGCAACAATCTGCTCGACTTTATCAAGCGTTGTTTCCTCAGAGCACAAAGTCACATCAACAGGAAGCTTCTCTTTCTTTCTCTTTTGGATCAGGTTCTTCTTTGAGTCTGAGGGAACATGTTGCAGTCACATGGAAACATTAAAACAAGCAACAAGTCCTCTGGTTTCCATTCACATCACCGGAGACTCATGAAGCATTGTGTGAACATGAGTTTGGTATCACTGTTTTCACCTTTAGGTTCATATTTGTGTTGCAGCTCCTCTACTCGCAGCTGCAGTTTGATCTTGTCGCTCTGAGTCTGCAGCAGGAGGAACAGAAACAAGTTGAGTGTGAAGGAGTTTGCTTGCAACTTTTTTGTACTGAAACAAAGATTTAAGTAGTAAATGCCTTGCCTTGACCACAAAAACAACCACTGTCAGACGGGTGGTTGGACATTTAAAGTCCCGTCATCAGAAGATCTTGGATCTCAATTTTATCTAAACGTGAAGGATTTTAAACATTCCACGTCTTGGTTTAAGTGAACAATATGATATGATGATATGAGCTAAGCTAACGTTAGCAGCAGCTCAGCCCATCAGCCCCTCCTGAGCGTCTCGGCCTGCTGAGGAGCCTCCGAGGAACAGATCAGTTTCTACATAAGCTGCTCTATTCAGTGGCACTTTAACTATGTATTTCTCTTTTGTTAAAATATGAAGAAGACAGAAGTAAAAATGTGTGACAGAAAACTTTAGCTCATGTGAATAAGAAGAATAAAAGATTATAATCGCCTTTTTTAAAGGCCTCTGCTATTATCAAGTTACTGTCTGACAGACTGAAACACCTGATCTCTGTAGCTTTTCTTAACAGGACAGACAGGTCAAGTCAACATGGTCACTTCACTAGCGTATGTATCAAAACATGAACCTTCAGGATCCTATTTTGAGACACAGATGTGTAAGTGCATCTTCCAGCTGTGTATCCACAGCATTCATGGAGAAAGAGCTTCCTGTTACCTGTTTGAGCAGACGCTCAGATGAATAAAGTTTCCTCTCCAGCTCCAAAGCTCTCTGACTCTCTGACAAAGATTTCATCCTCTGCAGGGAGAGTTCATCCCCAAGACGCTCTGCATCCTTCCTGAACACACACAGCGACAGAGATTCAGTCAAAGGCATGAGTGGAGATAAAATAAATAAAAAGGATATAAGGTAAAGGAAAAGAAAGGTTTTATAATTGCGGTTCTCTGCAGAGTTACAGGACTGAATTTCTCACCAGAGATTCAAGTGTAACTGTCACAGAATATGTATTTATGAAATGATGTTTATTGATGTTATTGATTAAGAGAGAAACAGAACAAACAGATTAAACTCACACTGTGTTGTTGAGCTTCATTTTGAGCAGGTCGGTGTAGTACGTTTCATCTTGGCCGTCAGCGCTTTCTGCTGGAGTTGGATTAGCTGGCTGAGACTTCAAATTCATCTACACACACACACACACACACACACACACACACACACACACACACACACACACACACACACACACACACACACAAAGTTTATATGATCTTAGAACATATTGTTTAACAAGTACACATCACTGCGATGATAATATCCTACCCTTTTCAGGTTTTGAACAGAAGATACAACAGAATGAATCTCCTCTCTTTTGATATCAGAGTCATGTTGAGGCTGAAACATCAGATTAAGTTTACGGGAATGTTCCTATTTTAAACCTGAGACCTGTTTGTATTGTTATCTTTAAGGGCAAACCCCTTGAAGACTTAAACCAAACCAGGTCCACTGAAAGTTCTTGTTGGGTATTTGTCTGAATAGGGATGGATCATAATATTCTATTATTCATTTATCTATAATGACTTTTATCTAATCTTAAAAATAAATATTTTTTAAAGGCTGAGATTCTGAAATCTGTTTGCTAACACAGTTTAAATCACAAAAGAAGAAGAAAGCATTAGAGTCAGGTGCCGCTAAAACGTCTGTGGTGCTGTGAAATCTGGAACTGGACAAAAAGCGAAGAGAGTCAGAGAGTTTTTTTGTGGAGCTCCTTCAAAAAAAATGAGGTTAAACTTTTTCCAGGTAAAAACTAGCACATCAGAAGTCTCTACACACAGTAGCTATGTTTACATCA